ATGTAATTTCTTATTTTGATGATATATTGGTTTTTTCAAACGATACGCAATCCCATTTGGAACATCTTAAGGAAATATTTGAAATTCTACAAAAAGAGGGTATCCAACTTAGGAAGGAAAAGTGTTTATTTTTTATGAAAAAGATAAATTATTTAGGTTATGAAATTTTTGGAGACCAAATGTCTCCCTCGGGCATTAATGTTGATATAATTAAATCATTGCCACCTCCTCGTAATGTTAGGTGCTTAAGATCATTTTTAGGAAGCGTTACACATTATGCTAAGTTTATAAATCATTTTAATAAATTAAGAGCTCCCTTAAATAATCTTTTGAAAAAAGATATAAAATTTACATGGACTGACGAATGCCAAAAAAGTTTTGAGGCTCTTAAAGAAGCATTAGTTTCGAAACCAATCCTCCAAATTTATAATCCGTTATTAACTACGCATATCTTTTGTGATGCTAGTACTGCAGGTTTAGGAGGCGTGCTCAAACAGGAGTATCCTGATGGCACAATGAAACCCATAGCGTTTTATAGTAGGGCCTTAAGGGGGGCAGAATCCAAATATACCATTACAGAGCTGGAATTATTAGCAATAATAGAAACGTGCAAGAGATACCATCCCTACCTTTCAGGTCAGCGGGTAATAGTTCACACTGATCATAAAGCACTAATTTGGTTAAATAATTTCAAACATACAAATGGTAGACTATTTCGATGGTCATTAAGATTATCAGAATATGATTTGGAATTCAAATATAATAAAGGATGTGAAAATTATGAAGCTGACATGTTGTCCCGCTTACCATATTCTTGCTTCCTATCCATACAAGATTTAAAAGAAGGACAAGAATCCTTAGCTAAGCCTTCATCTAAATTATATTTCAATAAAGACAATATCACTTATATTCGATTAAAAAATAAAGATAGAATAGTAGTACCACCATCCTTACAACAAGAATTGATAATTAAGGCCCATGAAAGTTTAGGACACCCAGGTATTAGTGCAATGGCTAGGGTAATATCAACACAATATTATTTTAAAGGTATGATAGGTAAAATAAAAAATTATATTTTGAAATGCAAGACATGTCAATCTGTAAAGAAGCCGACTACACCTTCATATGGACTCATGGGTACTTTACCGCTGGCTGAGAAACCATTTGATGTAGTTGCTCTTGATAGTATTTTAGGCTTAGGAGAATATAATAGTACAAAAAATTGCCTTCATGTAGTAGTTGATCATCACTCTAGATACATTTGGGCTTTTCCTTCTAAAAGTACCTCGATAGCAACGTATATAAATATTATAAATCAATTATTAAGTATAGGTAAGCCAAAGATTATTGTTACCGACAGACATCCTTCATTTGTCTCCAAAAGATTCAATAAATTCATACAGGAAAAAGGCATAAAACACGTTATGACATCCCCTTCTCATCCACAATGTAACGGGCTGGTAGAAAGGGCTAATGCCACTATCATTTCGAAGTTAAGACTCCACCATCAACAAAATCCCAGAATTCCATGGCACAAGCTATTACAAAAAGCATTAGAAGAATATAGGAATACTCCCCATTCAATAACTACAATTCCTCCCGTTTATTTACTTTTCGGCATTAATCCATTTTATACCAGTGACCTAACAATAGCCTATCCCCCCATAGAAGAAGCTAGGAAAACCGCCAATGATAATACAAAAAAACTACATCTTAAATTAGTCAAAAGATATAATGAATCCCATAAAACGCCCAATTTAAAAATAGGAGATAAGGTACTGTATAAGATCCCTTATCAATCAGGCCAAGGTAAACTTATGCCAGCTTTTTACCCAGAACCTTATACGATAATTGCCATACCTTCTCCCCAAACAATAGAAATAGATAAGCCATGTCAACCCGAAAATAAACGTACAACAATAGTTAATATTTCTAAAATAAGACTCTGGGAACCAGTATTTGAAGATACCGAGGAAAACCTACACACAATTTTTCCATTTCAAGAAGAGGACCTGGAACAATGCTTGGGCACTTAGCTTAACAGGCAAGTTTTTCCACTACTAACCCTAAATTTTGCATACTTCCATTCAGCAATAAAAGTTGCTATTGAATGGGATTATACCTATGTGTATGAGGGTATGTAAACATGTAGTGCTTGATATTTAGAAATTTTTCCCCATTTGTCTGCATTATGTTAGTTAGGTTTTGTAGGGCCACCTTTTCCTGTGAATTCCCCACCTAACAGGCTTTGGTCGCCTTTTGCCTCTAACAATATAGTTTCTTGTGTAAATACAATTACTTGTGTAATATAATTTTTGCATTTTTTTTCTTTTCTTTCTTTTTTTTTCCCCCTTCGAAATGTATCTCATCCTTTACCTTCCATCCCCTCCCAACCTCCGTTGAGGAAGAAAATTTAATACAAATTTTTCTTTTTTTGTGGGGGGTAGTGATACATTTTGAATGATAGAATGTAAATTTTATTTTATTTTTTTTTTTTTACTAAAGATTTAATTAAATGGTGTATGTAAATTTTTGTTTTGTTTAAAAAAGATTTGAAAAAAATAAAGAGAGGATATTGAGGTGGAGACAGCCACAAACGACTGCTTAATTGTCATTTCCAGACATTGAACTTGGGAAAAATTACAATACGACATATATATATGTGATAACCGAGGGCCTCTCTCTGTGGTGTGGTAACCGAGAGGGGCAAACCTGTAGTAACCCAGAGGGACAGTCAGGGCGTGGAGAGTTTTCCAGTACCTCTCTGCGCCTTGGAAGACCTTTAACAGTTTTCACAGAGTACAGGCAGTTGTGGTCGAGGCAGAGTGGAAAGCTTGGGAATGTCCACACACAAAAAAACGAAGAAACACAGTTGTAGTAGGAAAGTTTCGTGAATAGATAAAAGTCGAGCTAAGAGCAAGATGGAGATAAAAGAGTTCTTACTGTTCTACATAGCAATGAGGTGGACCTGGGGTACAACCGACGAGGGCTCACGCTGATGGTGGGGTGACTATATTTTCGGCTAGGGCAGAGGTCTTATATATCTTTGCCGAGGGGGGAGGTATGAGGGAGAATGGACTTTGAGCGGGTGCAAAGGGCGTGGGGCATCTGCGATATTCTACACCCAATGACCTTGATGGAACGCCCTGCCAAATTCCTCTTTAGGGTTGTTGGATCTCGATTTTAGACATTTTTGAACTTCTTCTCAATCTTCCTTAGCTCAACTCTTAATCTATTACATAGTTTTATTTATTCATTCTCAGTTTGTACAAAGTACATTACATATGATGATGTAATGACACATGTCAATCATGAGTATAATTATTTATAGATGTGTTTCTATATACAACATGACAATCTTGTTATAAGTATTATACAATATAGGGTTGTTGGTTTAAATTACCATATATATCTTTTTATATATAAAAGACAATGTCTGTTGTCTGTTTCACAATAAACTCAAAACTACTGGACCAATTGGCACCAAATTCTCCACGTTGCTTTTTATAAACCTGAGGAAAATTTTCGGCTACATTTTGATTAGTATTTTGACTATTTATTTTTTTCATTTGAAAAACTTTTTTTTACTCAGAGTAAATACGAGACGAAGTAACAACACAAGGCCAATTAAGTAACCAATGAGCATTCTGCATTTTTTTTCAAGTTGCTCACGTACTTTTTTTGAAATATCTTTCTATACGAGTGTTACTTTTTTTTACAAAAGTATTGAATAGTGAGAGAGAAATATATATTACTAAGTTACGGTAAGTGCACACGATGCAATTTTTAAAAAACTTTACAAAATTAGCATTACTGTATGTAAATAATGGCTTTCATATTTTTTATTAATTTTTGTTCTTGCCTTTATTTTTTGTTTTTTCTCTTTTTTTTTTTTTAATTGTTTAAAATGCAGTCGCAGTCATTGGCAAGCACATATGTTTGCCTAATTTCCATGTGCTCTATTATTTTTTACAGAAAAATATTAACATGCCAGTATTTTGGATTAATTTTTTTATAAACCTATTTTTTCTTATTCTTACTGAGAAGATGGACATCGCAGTCAAGACCCATCGCAGTCACTCACTCAACTCAGGCAATTTCAAGGGTTAATGCGCTGGGGCGGGTACCTCGGGGATTGGGTGGAAAAGCTGTCATCTATTTAAACTATATTGATTTTAAAACAACTAAATAGATTGCAAAAATAATTAAATCAAATACCTAAACACTAATATAATACAATTTTTGCCATCACACACCTTTTGCATGTGGTTTATATGTTACTTCTGTATTGCTATTCTATGGAACTTCTACTATTTATTATTGATGTACTTTCAGTATGAAGGAAATTGCACTCGGGGGAATTCTCAGGCGAAGCCGGGTCATTCGTCTAGTGTTATATAAAAATCATTTCATTTTAAAATTATAACTTTTAGACCAAACTACTCAGTAAAGTCGGCCGCCAGATGTCAGTTTTTCCTATATAAACCTATTGTTGCTTCCTGTTGGCCAGCTCAAAATATTTTATAATAATGCAAATACGAGGGTTGTCCATTAAATAAGTTCCATAAAGGTTTTTCATACAGAAAAACAGGTTTATTTGTCCTGAACTATACATTTTCCAAAATATCAGACTCTTTCATTTTTCTACATATTCCCCGTTTCGTTCGATGCATTTTTGCATTCGGGACACCCACTTATGGAATGCAGAGTCAAAGAAATCTGCCGCCTGGCCACGTAGAAATCCTAAAACCGCTTCTTCCAACTCATTGTCGAGCTTTGAACAAAGAATTCGAATCACTGGACGGCGTAACCAGCATAGATCAGAGTAAAACTATTGCAACTCAATGATTGTTGGGAAGAATGAAAATTTATTTGTAATTAATACAAAAAAATTATAGTTAAAGAATTTTTAAAAAGAGAGAGATAGAGTTTTTGGTCTCAAGACGCAAGCACACAACGACAACAACTTGAGAACAAAAAGAGAGGGGCGAGGGGGGCCGGAAGTTGCATCATGGGCGTGACATCACTGCCGCATGGGTGGTGGCTGGCTCGCGCCGCGTGGGGGGCATCTTCTTCCACAGCTTTCTTACATTTTGAAGGCCCCCATCTCAATATCTCCAAATAAAATGAATATAAAAAACACACACAAAAAAGGTAGTGGATCTGCAACACTCGTCATCATCCTGGAATTGGGTTCCACCCAGGTTTATCTTCAACTCGGGGAAGAGATGAAAGTCACTAGGAGCTACATCCGGGCTGTAAGGTGGGTGTGACACCAATTCCCATCCAAATTCTTCGATGAGGGCGGTGGTTTGACGGGCGGTGTGCGGCCGAGTGTTATCGTGGTGAAAACGCACCCCTTTGGTTAACATCCCTCTCCTCTTGTTCTGAATCGCGCGTCGAAGTTGTTTTAAGGTCTCACCTTACCGGTCGGAATTGATTGTTGTACCCCAATGCATAAAGTCGCACAACAATAGGCCCATTCGGTCCCAAAAGACGGTAGCCGTAAAATTCCCGGCAGAAAGCATTTGTTTAAACTTTAGAGGTTTCGGCGAAGAAGTGTGCTTCCACTGCTTGGATTGCTCCTTTGTCTCCGGTGTGGTGTAGTGTACCCAGGTCTCATCACCAGTAACAATATATTCCAAGAATTCCTCTCCGTCAGTTTCGTGGCAATCGAGAAATTTCTGGTCCGCTTCAACCAGCTGCCTTTTATGGTCTTCAGTCGGCATTTTTGGAACCCATCTTGCACAGACCTTTGAATACCCTAAATGTTCACGCAAAATCTTGTCGATGGTGGTTTTACTGACGTCAGGAACCAAATCGCAGAGCTTCCGCACAGTAACCCATCGATCTTCAAGCATTGCCGCTTCGACTTTGGCAATGGTTTCGTCTGAAACTGATGACCGTCCAGCACGCAGTTCATCGTGGACATCTGTTCGGCCGTTTTTAAATTCTCTGACCCATCTGCGCATCATCCCAGAACTCATACACCCTTCTCCATACACTTGACAGATTTCAGTATGAATGTCCTTCGCCGAATTCTTCTTTGCGGCCAAAAAGCGAATTACTGACCGTAATTCGCAGCTGGCAGGAGACATGAGGGGAAGCTCCATTACTAACAGCTGCTCAGCCAAGACTAAGCTTACCAGTGACATGGCCTTGGTGGGAAATAGGAGTGGGGAGAACAAGCTAAGAGCCCGCGCAGTCGGCTCCCGCCTAAAAGCGATCCTCATGACAGTGGTGCCCCGTGAAACTTATTTAACGGACAACCCTCGTACTGATTCTAGTTTTCTTTTCTTCTTTGCACCTTAAGTCAAGTAGTAGTTTCCTCAAATTATGCATTTAATACTTTATTAGCACAATTAAAGCAAATTGTGATTAAAACTATTTTAATATTTTTACTATGACTCTGTGCAATATCATAAAATACTCATATACTACATACTATTGCCAAAATGCTTATGTATCCAAAAGGAAAGCATATAATATCTATCTTTGCAAATATTTAATATAATATATATATATTTGACTCACCACAAGGTTTTTAATTTTATATATATATATATATAATATAAAAAAAAATGCTTGTCGACTTCACTGTGATAAAGTGCTTTGTCCTGAGAATCCTCGGGAGTGGATGGGGTTTTGTATGTTTGGGCAGTCGTTATCGATGGCGGTGGATGAACAATCGGCACACTATATCGATTAATGAATCACAAAACACCTCGGAATATTAATCATTGGCGGCTCGGGAGAGGAGATGGAAGGATTTTCGCGATTAAATTGGATTGAGATGACTCACATCTTGGACCTCGAGGCACTACTTTTAGAAGATGCACACACACGTCTTGACACACACGTTACACCGACCGAACTGCGGTTGCTCCACCCCCCGGCTTGGGTCATGTGGGACCCTGCTTGACCTTTGATTGGTCCCTGTCTCTGTCGGCCATGATGGTGAATTTGGTCGGGAAGGAGCTTTGCCTAACATCCCAATCTCTCAGGACATTCAACTCTGGAATATGAGGGCCTCTTTGTTCTAAGTGACCTAGATACACGACTTGGATCTGTCGTTCTTTTCTCTTCTACTTCTTCCATCTCCACGTCCTTTGACTGCCATCTTTATTTGAATCCATACAGAATACATTATATCCAACATGGTACATAATTATTTATTAGACAATATTCTTTATAATATTACAGATGCGCCCCCTATGAATAAGAATTTTAAAAGGGATCTGTATTAAATTCTGAAAAAAGAAAAATAATTTTTTGGGAAAAAAAAAAAATAAAATTTTTTTAAAATAGTGAGTGGTTAGATACAATTGGGGAGAAAGTAAATGATGGAAATAAGTAATAAAAAGAAATTTGAGTAGATAGGGGTGCTTGCTAAACTAGGAAAAAATATGATAATTTTTTGGAGGAAAAAAAAAATTTTGCCTGCATAGGTGTTCAATCTTGCTGTGTGGAAACCCACAGCAAGGGAAACTCTATGAGGTGCAATCCAAACAAAACATATAAGACATTAACAGAAATAAAAAGAAAACTATAGACAATAAAATTTGGTGATGGAGGAAAAAAAAAAAAAAAAAGAAAAAAGAAATCTGATTAGCCTTTGGGGCGGTGAAAAAATATAAACAAAACATAAAAAAAGAAATCAAAGCTCCTGTATGATAAACTGAAGGCTGATACATGAGAAGTATTGCGTCAGGTCAGTTGTTCATTCAGTTAGGACAAAACAAGGTTTAAACAATAAAAGGAAAAAATAAACTTGAGGTGATTAAGAAATTGAAAGGGTGATAGACATGGATGGTGGGAATAAAAAAATAAAAATAAAAAAAATTAAAGTGCTGGTTGTGTACAAGTCTTTTAAAATTGGTTAACAAAAATATACACAAAAGAAGAATATTTTTTTACATAACAATGTCCAATCTTTGTTTATTATAGGGTCGTAGGTCATAAGGTTGCCAAAACTATATAGGTGCGTGAATGTATGTGAGTGTGTGTGAGTGTATGTTCCAGAAAGTAACTTTAAGTGTGGTGACACGCGAAAAGTGACGGCGGGTTTGTTTACATTCCGCAGGGAGGATGTGACGTCAGTCACGTGATCGGAAAGGACGTGACGTCGGCGCGGCGGAAGGTTTCTGTAAAGTGGACGCCAGCTGACAGCGGGGTGATCGACGAGTGATGTAAAGGTGGGGAGATTGCTATTCGACTTGGCGCGCTCTAAAGAGGGTTTGGAAAATCTCTCCTATGATTTCACCTATTAGAGCGACCAAGGCATGACTGTGGACAAGGATGGTCCATAACTCCGGGAGAATTATTCCTATGGTTCGATGGATTAGTTCCACTACGGCGATGGTTATTTCGAATAGGGCTTCCTGTAGTTGGAAGAGACGGTTGGGCTGCAGTGTATAGACACTGACATACAGTAGGGTGGCCATGGGTAATAGTACAGTGGGTAGGATGAAAAGGTTGATGAGGTATAGGAGGTGGAACAAGGGGAAGGTTTTCACGTTATGAAAAAACCTTGCCTGTAAGGGAATTGGTTTGGGATCAGCCCTAACTGTAGGGATTGGGGTTTTAACTTTGGTTATATGGGTTGGACGGGATATTGCAGGTTGGGGAATATCGCGTTGGGCGATAATGTTACATTGTGGGTCAACAGGGGTGGTAGTGGTACAATTGCCTATTGTAGGAGCAAAGCGCTCAACTGTAAAGAGGTCTGGGGTGAGGTGCTCGAACAGTGGTGGTAGCGTCCTAGATTGGGGTTTAGCAGGGTGTGGTATCAGAGTGGGAGGTGCGATATAACGAATATTTTCGTTATAGTACTGTAATTTATTTACATGGACTGTGTCGGTATTCCGATTTAGAGGTTGGTTGGGTCGGTTTATTCTCACCACGTTGGGAGAGATGATCTCTAAGATCTCGTAGGGACCCGTGAAATACGGAGCCAGTTTGCCTGTATTGGGGTGATGGTAAACTTTTACCAACACGAGATCTCCGGGTTCAAAATGGGGTGTCTTATGTTGTTGGTCGTAGGCATGTTTGTCTTTGAGGTGCTTGGCCTGGGTACGTTCATGGGCTATCCGTCGGGCTGTGGTTAAAACGGGGTAGGGGTTTACATGCTCAGTGAGCTCGGGAGGTAGAACGCCGAACATCAGGTAGCCAGGTGGGAACCCGGTAACTGAGTGGGGCGTGTTGTTATACACCACAGTAACGCGCTTCGCCAGCTTAGTCCATGCGGCTTTGGGGTTTTCCAAATGGAGTAACCTTAGTTTGCCTGTTAAGGTAGCGTTCAGGCGCTCGCATAGACCATTAGCTTGGGGGTTGTTACTGGTGGTGAGCAGGGGATGGATGTTCCTGTTAATCAGGAACTTCCTGAACTTTGGTGAGGTGAACGCAGGCGCTCTATCCGTGAGTAGGCGTTTCGGAGAGCCGTCCTGCAACACTCGCTTTATCACCTGTTGATAGGTGGTGATGCTGGTAGATTTTGAGGGGAAGGTCCACGTGTAGCGCGAAAAGTGATCCACCACAACGTGGAGGTAAGCTTTGGCGTTACCATATTTGGCAAGTCCAGCTATGGTGTCGAGGGCGACCAGGTCAAAAGGCTGAGTGGCCACAGGAAGTTGTCCTAGTTCCCCAAACGTGGGACCTCGAGGGGGTTTTGTTGACTGACAGATGGCGCAGGCTTTGGTGGTTTTGGAGATGTCTTCTGACATCCCCTTCCAGTAGTACTGGGGAGAGATGAGCCTGGTCATCTGGGATATGCCCGGGTGGTTGTACCGACTGTGCACCTTTGTTAGTAGGTCGGGAACGAGGGCGTCAGGGACGACAATTTTGGTTACACCTCTACGCTTTAGGGTTTGCAGTCCGTTTCGATCAATGGTCAGTTTAGATTCTCCCGAAGGAGTGAGTTGGTGGTTCTTAATGAGGGTGGCGTCTAAGAATCCACAAAACGGGTTACGGGATAGGAGGTCCGCTTCATGTTGTTGTGCTCCTTTTATGTAGCGGACTTCGTATTCGTAACACGATAACCTCAAACTCCATCGGAATAATCTGCCTGACGGGTTTT